ACATCCAGCAGGCACTGGGGCAGTGAGAGGGGGGATGAGGGCAGAGGGTGGGGTGGGAACCGGGTGGAGTGGAGTTATGGTGGGGGGAGTGGAACAACTGTAATAATCTGAACAATAAAGATTTAATTTTAAATAAATAAATAAAAACTGTAGTACATCTACACAATGGAATACTATGCTGCAGTAAAAAAGAAGGAATTCTTATCATTTGTAACAGCATGGATGGACCTGGAGAGCATTATGCTAAGCGAAATAAGATAGTCAGAGAAAGATACATATCACTTGATCTCACTCATTTGTGGAATATAATGAACAACATAAACTAATGAACAAAAACAGATCCAGAGACAGAAGCATCAATCAGACTGTCAAATCTCAGAGGGAAGGTTGGGGAGGGTGGGGGTAAGACAGGAGAGACTAACCAAAGGACTTGTATGCATGCATATAAGCCTAAGTAAGGGACGCAGACACAATGGGGGTGAGGGCATGAGTGGGGACATGGGGGGATAATGGGGGCATAAGAACACACATGTAATACCTTAATCAATAAAGAAAAAAAAATTCGAAATAAGTAAAACTGTCATTATTTGTAGATGATGACATGATACTGTATATAGAGAACCCTAAAGACTCCATCACAAAACAACTAAAACTGATGAATGAATTCAGTAAAGTATCAGAATACAAAATAAATATCCAGAAATCAGTTACATTTTTATACACTAATAATGAATTATCAGAAAACTAAAAACAATCTCATTCACAGTTGCTTCAAAAAGAATAAAAGAACAAGGAATAAATTTAACCAAGGATGTAAAAGACCTGTACTCAGAAAATTATAAGACACCTAAGAAGGAAATTGAAGAAGGTATAAATAAGTGGAAGCGTATACCATGTTAATGGATAGGTAGAATTAACATCATTAAAATATCTATACTCCCCAAGCAATCTACAGATTCAACACAATACCTATTAAGATACCAATGTCATATTTCACAGAACTAGAAAAAATATTCCAAAAATTTATATGGAACCACAAAAGACCCCAAATAGCAACAGTGATCTTGAGAAATAAAAACAAAGTTGGAGGAATCATGCTACCTGATATCAAACTATACTATAAGGCCACAGTAATCAAACAACATGGTACTGGCACAAAAATAGACATATAGATCAATGGAACAAAACAGAAAGCCCAAAAATAGACCCATGCCTTTAGAGTCAATTAATATTTGACAAAGGAGGCAAAAACATACAAAGGGCTAAAGATAATCTCTCTATATAAAAGGTTAATAATATGATAAGTGCCCAACTGTTCAACTGTTCAATCATTTGACCAGTCGTTATGATGTGCACTGACCACCAAGGGGCAGATGCGCAATGCACAGGCATGGAAACATGGAACAGACTGATGCATCTCAGAAGGAAGGAGGGAGGGGAAGAGGGCAGGAAGAGATTAACCAAAGATCTTATATACATTCTAGAGGCTCAGTGCACAGATTTGTGCACCAGTGAAGTCTCTCTGTCTGGCCTGCGCTCTCTAGCAATCCAAGACCCCTTGGGGGATATTAGACTGCCGGTTTCGGCCTGATCCCCACGGGGCAGGCTGAGGGACCCCACCGGTGCATGAATCCATGCTGCAGGCCTCTAGTCTATTCAATAAATATTGTTGGGTAAATTGGACAGATAAATGCAAAAAAATAAATAAATAAACCAGGCCACCTTCTTACATCATACACAATAATAAACTCAAATGAATTAAAAACTTAATTGTTAAACTTGGAACCATAAAAATCATAGAAGGAGCCCAGCTAGGGTGGCTCAGTGGTTGAGCGTCAACCTATGAATCAGGAGGTTAAGGTTCAATGCCCGGTCAGGGCACATGTCCAGGTAGCAAGCTTGATCCCCAGTGTGGGGCATGCAGGAGGCAGCCAATCAATGATTCTCTCTCATCATTGATGTTTCTATCCCTCTCTCCCTTTCATTTCCTCTCTAAAATCAATAAAAATACATTTTTAAAAAAATCCTAGAAGGAAACATAGGCAGTGAAATCTCTGACATTTCTTGTAGCAATAATTTTTCTGATATAATTCCTCAGCTAAGGGAAACAAAACAACAAGAAAACAAATGGACTACATCAAACTAAAAAGGTTTTGCACAACAAAAGAAACCAGAAACAAAATGAAAAGACAATACATTGAATGGAAGAACATATTCACCAATACATCTGATAAGGGATTAATATCCAAAATTTATAAAAAAATTATAAAAATCAATACACACACAACAACAACAACCCAATTTTAAAATGGGCAAAGGTCTTGAAGAGACACTTCTACAAAGAGGACATACAGATAGCCAACAGACATATGAAAAGATGCTCAAAGTCACTAATCCTCAGTGAAATGCAAATTAAATCCACAATGAGGTATCACCTCACACCTGTCAGAATGGCTATAATGAATAAATCAACAAACAAGTGTTGGTGAGGATGTGGAGAAAAGGGAACCCTTCTGCACTGTTGGTGGGAATGCAAATTGGAGCAGCCACAGTGGAAGCAGTAGGGAGTTACCTCAAAAAATTAAAATGGGACTGCCTTATGAACTATCAATTCCACTTCTGAGAATTTATCCGAAGAAACACAAAACACTAATTCGAAAGAATATATGCACCCCCGATATCACTGCATTATTTACAACAGCGAAGATCTGGAAACAGTCCAAGTGTTGTCCATCAGAAGATGAGTGGATAGAACAGCTATGGTACATTTACACAGTGGAATACTACTCAGCCTAACAAGGAAGAAAAGTTTACCCTTTGCGACAGCATGGATGGACTCGGAGAACATTATGCTAACTGAAATAAGCCAGTTAGAAGACCACAATGATTTCACTCATATGTGGAATCTAATGAACAAACTGAACTAACAATCAAAATAGAGGTAGACTCATAGATAATAGGCAGATGGGGGGGGTGGTAAAGGGATTGAGCAAAAAGGAAAAAAGATAAATAACTCATGGAAACGGACAACAGTGGTTACCATTGGCGGGGGGAGTGAGTGGGTGGAGGCGGAAGAGGATATAAAAGGATAGGGGATAAGTAATGATGAAAAAAATAAAATAAAATAAAATAATAAAGGGGAAAGAAAGGATCCCAGACATGATTCATTATACACTTGGATGATATTAATAAACTTAAATCTTACTTGACAGTTACTGCAGCATAATCCTGTATCACAAGCTGATCCTGCTTTCAGCACACAAAGTTTAGGATCACAACAGCTATCTTGTCCACATTGCTATGAATGAGTGAAATACAAATAAAAATACGTTATAACAATATAAACTTTGGTAGGAGTTATATTTACTGGGCTTTTTAGTTTTGGGAAAGAATATGAATGCTTTCAAAATTCATAGACTTTTACATATCTAAACTATTAAAATACTAAAGTATTTCAGGTCAAAACAGAGTAACTGGAACCCAACTAACTCTTAATCAATTAGAATACTATACAAAATATATGGAACAACTTTTTTCAGAAACTGGATAAAAGTAAGAGAGTAGAAAGGTGGTTACCAGTGCCAGGCAAGTGGGGGGAAAGGGGGAATAGTGATCAAAAAAACCAAAATTATTTAGAAAATGAACTACTAGTTCTGAGAAACTAATATACATCATGATGACTCCAGTTAACTATAATGGACTGTATACTTGAAATTTGGTAGTAGGACAAGCAAAGCATTCTCAGCACTGCACACATAGACACACACACACACAAATGATAACTGTGCTAGGTGATGAATGTTAGTTTGACTGCTGGAATCACGTCACAATGTATACATATATCAAAATACCACGCTGTATACCTTAAATATATACCATTTTTATCTGTCAATTATACCTCAATAAATCTAGGGGGAAAGTGTGTGTAGAATTTAGGCCCACTGCAAAGGTAAAGAAAGTGGTCCCTAAGACTGCCCTTGCATCTTACAGCAATCACCAGTTCATCGGAGTCCCAAAACCACCCTCAATTTTGATCATTTCTTGATAGAACTCACACATTTCACTGACAGCTGTATATTCAAGTTTTGGTTTCTTAGATGGAAAGGATACAAATTAAAATCAACCAAGAGAAAAAGCACCTAGGACAGAATCACAGAGAAGCACTAAACATGGAGTTCCTATTACCTTCAACCCATGGAATCACAGACTTACTACACTCCAAGCATTGATGCGTGACACTTCTTAACTCATTCTTTAAGGCCAGTATAACCCTAATACCAAACCCAGTTTAAGACATTATAAGAAATGAAAATTACAGACCAATATCTCTCATAAGCATGGATGCAAAAACATTCAAAAAAAATTAGTAAATCAAATCCAGCAATGTATAAAAAATATGCATCATAACCAAGTGGGATTTATCAAAGTATGCAAGGCTGGTTCATATTTCAAATACCAATTAATATAATCCATAGAGTTGACATGTTGAAGAAAAAAATCCTATGACCATAATAACTGGTACAGAAAAGGCATCAGATAAAATATAACTCTCGTTTATTATACAAAATGTTAGCAAAACAGGAATAAAGAGAATCTTTCTCAATCTGATAACAAACATCTAAAAAAAATTTACAGCCCTGACCAGTGTTGTTCAGTGGCTGGTTCGTGGACCAAAAGGTTGTGGGTTCAATTCCCAGTCAAGGGCATGAACCTGGGTTGTAGGTTCAATCCCCAGCACCAGTTGGAGCATGTGTAGGAAGCAACTAATTGATGTCTCTTTCACATTGATTTTCTCTCACCCCCCACCCCACCGCCTCCCTTTTACTTTAAAAATAAAATAAAATACATGGGAGAAAATATCCTCAGGTGAGGATTATAAACTACAACAACTAAAATGTCTATAGCTAACATCACACTTATGGTGAGATAAGGCTATTAGACTGGGAACAAGGCCAAGATGCCCCGTCTCACTACCCCTGTCATAATCCTAATCTTAATCCTATATAATAAAAGCCTAATATGCTAAGTGTCTAATCGTCTGTTGGCCGTTCAACCAATCAAAGCTTAATATGCTAATGATATGCTAAAGCTGCTCAACCACTCGCTATGACATGTACTGACCACCAAGAGGCAGACAGTCAACCAGTCAACCAGTTGCTGTGATGTGCACTGACCACCAGGGGGCAGACGCTCCACCCGGTAGGTTAGCTTGCTTCTGGGGTCCAGCCAATCGAGACTGAGCAAGATGGGCGGACACACCCTAAAGCCTCCTGCAGTCCCTTCCTGGCCCTGATCGTACACCAGTGGGGTCCCTTGGCCTGGCCTGTCCCCTCTCACAATCCAGAACCCCTTGGGGAATGTTGGAGAGCTGGTTTCGGCCCAATCCTGCAGGCCAGGCCGAGGGCCCCCACTGGTACATGAATTTGTGCACCATGCCTCTAGTGCAATAATAAAACAAAATAAATGTTTGAAAAAATACATGTTAGAAAGAAAGAAGCAAAATTGTTGTGTCTATACATGCAAAGAAAATTCCAAATAATCAGCCAAACAACAAAAACTTCCCATGACTAATAAGTGATGATATCAAGGTTGCTGGATACCAAAGTTAATACACAAAATTCAACTGTTCTTGTGTAAAGAAGCAATTAAAAAATGGAACTTTGAAATAAAAAATACAATTTCATTTACATGACCACCAAAACAATGAAGTTCTTGGGAATAGTTCTAACAAAATTTTACAGGATCTATACAAGAAAAACTACAAAACTATGATAAAAGAAATCAAAGAAAATATAAATAAATAGAGATATATTTCATGTTCATGGATAGGAAAACTCAGTATTATTAAGTTGTCAGTTCTTCCCAACCTGATCTAGAGATTAAATGTAATTCCAATTAAAATGCCAGCAAGATGACAAACTGACTCTAAAGTTTTATGAAGAGGCAAAAGAACCACAAGAGTCAATACAATACAGATGAAGAAAAAAGAGGAGGAGGAGGAGGAGGAGGAGGGAGAGAAAAATGGAAAGACTGACAATACCCAATTTCAAAACTTATTATAAACTGAACTAATGATTATATGGTATTCACAAAAGAATAAACAAGGATATAATTTAAACAAAATACAGACCCAAGAAATAGACTGAGATAATAAGATCTTTGACAGTGGTGCAATTACAATTCAATAGAGAATAGTCTTTTCAATAAATGGTGCTAGACAACTGGACATCCACATGGAAAATAATAACTCTACACACTGTCCCTATACCTTTCATACATATGCACGCACACGCGCGCGCGCGCACACACACACACACACACACACACACCTTCAAAATGCATCATAAACCTAAATGTAAAATGCAAAACTATAAAGATTCTAGAAGGGCAGATTTAAGGGTATAGATCTAATGTTAAGTACTTTTCCACAATGTAAAAAAATAAATAGGAATAACATCAATCTTAAACAAATTCTTTCGCAATCTCCTTGTGAAAACAAGCACCATAATCCTAAGGAAATATTGGCTAATTAAATCTAGCTAATGAGCTAGGTAGATCAAAATCCAAGTGGAGCTAATCTCAGTAATGCATGATTGGGTTAGCATTCAAAACCAACTGGTGAAATGCACTAGATCAATAGGGAAAAAAGGAGAAAATGCATATGATCAGCCCAATAGACACAGAAATAAGACATTTAACAAAGTTCAACACTAATTTTTGGCTCAAAGCTCTCAGCTAACTACAAACAGAAGGAAACTTCCTGAAGATGACAGAGGGCATCTGTTAAATAAAAAAAAAAGTTATATCTAACATTATATTAAGTGGTGAAAATCAGAAAGCTTTCTCCATAAAAATAAGAACAAAACAAGGAAGACTATTCTCAGTACATCTAACCAACACTACATCCAAGGTGGACTCACAAAGTCAACAGTGTTTTTACACTAGCAATGGTTAAATAAAAATATTAATACTATCAAAACCAGTAAACTACACAAAAACTAAACAAATTAAAGAACTTACACAATTCATCACCAGGAAGACCAACACTCTACTTTAAAAATGGACAAAAGACCTAAATAGACACTTCTCCAAGGAGGACATACAGATAGCCAGTAGACATGTGAAAAATTGCTCAGCATCACTAATCATCAGAGGAAGGCACATTAAAGCCACAATGAGATATCAACTCACACCTGACAGAATAGCGACCATCAATAAACTAATAAACAAGTGTTGGTGAGGATGTGGAGAAAAGAGAAAACCCATGCACTACTGGTGGGGATGCAGACTGGTACAACCACTGTGGAAAACAGTATGGAGTCACCTCAAAAAATTAAAAATGGAACTGCCTTTTGACCTCGTGATCCCACTTCTGGAAATATAGCCTAAGAAACCTTAAACACTAATTTGAAAGAATATATACATCTTTATGTTCATTGCCAAGCTATTTACAATAGCTAAGATCTGGAAGCAGCCCAAGTTCCCATTCGTAGATGAATGGATTAAAAAGAAAAGCTGTGGTACGTTTACACAATGGACTACTACACAGCAGTAAAAAAAAGAAGTAACTCACCTTTTTCAACAGCATGGAGGACCTGGAGATAATTATGCTAAGTGAAATAAGCAAGTCAGAGAAAGGTAAAATACCTTATGATTTTACTTATATGTGGAATTTAATGAACAAAAAAACTAACAAACAAAATACAAACATACTCATAAACACAGAGAACAAACTGACAGCTTTCAGAGGGGAGGTGGGCTGGGAGGGTTAGGTTAAAAAGGTGAAGGGAATAAGCAAAAAACTAAAACAAAAAACACAGACACAGAGAATAGTGTGGTGATCATCAGAGGGAAAAGGAAGTGGGTAGTGGTAGACGAGGGTAAAGGGGGGATAAAAGGAGACGAGACTATGAGTGGTGAACACACACTACAATATACAGATGATGTATTACAGAATTATACAGTTGAAACCTATATAATTTTATTAACCAATTTCATCTCTATAAAATCAATAAAATCATGTTTTTAAAAAGAAGAAGACCTAAATTTAACACCATGTGCATAGATAGACTCAATATTGCTAAGAAAGTAATTCCAGAAAATTGATGTATGGATGCAACACAATTCCAATCAAAGTCCCTACATTCACATGCTGATTCTATAATTTCTGTGGAAATACAAAGGTACTAGAATAGTAAAGCTATCTTTGAAAAGACAAGTAAAGTTGGATGATTTACACTGTGGTTTCAAGACTTACTATAAAAGTACATTAATTAAGAGAGTGTGGAATTGGCATAATAATGGACATATTTTAAAAAACAAAACAAATTCAGGGATAGATACATATGGGTGGTAACTTATTTTCATAAGGTGTTAAGATAAAACAATGGTGAAAGATAGTTACTTTAACAAACACTACTAGAAAAAAAACTATATTCACATCGAGGATAATGAATGTTAACCGAAATCTCACAAACATAAAATAACCAATGGACATAAGACACTGGGGGATAGGGGAGGCTAGGGGACTGTCTAGGGCGGGGGGAAAGAATGGACACATATGTAATAACCTTTGTAATAAAAAATTTAAAAAAAAAAAACTCAAATGTATCACAGGCTAAATTTAAAAGTTATAACTATATAACTTCTAGCAGAAAACATAGAAAATATTTATTACCTTGGGTAAACAAAGATTTATTAAAATAGAAAAAGCATGGCCATAGCAGAAAAAGTTATAAATTGGACTTTATAAAAAATAAGTAATGCCTGCTATTCAAAGGCTTGGTTAAGAAACTGAATGAGTAATCCATAGATTGAAAACAAATATTTTTAATATACATGTCTGACAAAGAACTGGTATCCAGCCTATACAAAGAACTCTTAAAAGTTGATAATAAAAAAATAAGTAACTTCATTTTTAAAACTGGCCAAGTATTTAAACATATTATTCAAACAACAAGTGGCCAATAAGGACATGAAAACATGATCAACATTATTAGTGTCATCAAGGAAATACAAATCAAAATCATTGGAATAGCTAAAATTTAAAGGCTGCAATATCAATTTCTGATGAGGATGTGGAGGCAGTTTCAAAACTGCTGATAGGATTATAAAATGATACAGCCACTTTGGAAGATAGTTTGGAAGTTTCTCATAAAAAAATACTTATTATATGACCCAGCAATTATTTTAGAGTTCATAATAAAGGCCCAATACTGTTAACAATTCAATGGCCATTATTAAATGGATGGAAAAACAAATGGTTGTATATCCAAACAATGAAGTATAACTCAAAATAAAAAGGAAAGACTATTATGACAGAAAACAATGTAGCTGAATCTCAAAAATACTGTATTGAAAGGAAGAAGCTAGACACAAAGAATATGTGTTGTATCATTTCTTTCATATGATTTTGTTGTTGTTGTTAAGCCTCACCCAATAATATTTTTTTCCATTGATTTTTTTAGAGAGAGATGAAGGAAGAAAGGGAACAGGAGAGAAAGAAGCATCAATGTGAGAGAGACACATGGATTGGTTGCCTCCCATACAAGCCCTGACCAGGGCCAGGTATCAAACCTGCAACACAGGTACATGCCCTTGAGCAAGAATTGAACCCAAGACCCTTTCATGTGCAGGCCGATGCTCTAGCCACTAAGCAAACTGGCCAGGACTCATATGACTTTCTTAATCAGGCAAAACTGACACAATCAGAAGTGGTCTGAAGATGAGAACAGGTGGAAATTACTGTAACTTTTGACCAAGTTTGGGGTATAATGAAAGAAATCTGCACCAGTGCTTACATACATTTGTCGAAAATCATCAATCTGTGTATTTAAAATGAGTAAATTTTATCGTATGTAGATTATGCTCCAATAAAAATAATTTGAAAATAAAGAAAGAATAAAGAGAGAAAACTTGTTCTACCAAATGGTAAAACATAATACCAAAAAAGGCACAGTAATTAAAACAATATGATATATGCACAAGTATATTCAAACTCATATATATATATATCAAACCCTAATATTATTTGCGTCTATTTATTTTGTAATAATAGAAATTTATGACATCTGTTATGTTGTTCAAATACTTCATTGTCTAGAATCATTATATCCTGGAACTTTTGCATTCATAGTTTCAGGATATCCCATCAAAATCTCCCAATTGTTCAGATTGTAATATTAACACAGACCTCTCTTACCATAATTCTAGTTCCATTGTGAAGTCAGACCCTAAAGGATACTTGATAGTTCATTATCACATTAATATTCAATAAGACATTTATAAAATGTCCAAAGGTTAAGCATAGGTTTGGAAAGATCTTATATATTTAGTCTGGAACTAAAAACCTCATTCTAAACTCCCATTTGTCCCATCAGCATTAATTTTTTTGGAGTACATTTTATATTTGTTCAAAACTTTTTCATCTATAAAACCTAGTATAATCTTGCATGTATTTCAACCTTAATTTTACAAAGAGATTAACTGCAACAATAAATGTACTAATCAATTTTCCCAGTTATCAGACTTACATCCTCAGTACCACAGTCACAAACTTCAGGGTTTTCCACTTTGCCGTTGCCACAGACTGCTTTTTGACGCACTTGCATTTGTGGCTTATTCTGAAGACATTTGGCACCCATATTTAAAATGAAACTTTTAAAGTCACTCAAACTGCAATTGCTAAAAGTCTTCACACCACTGGACTGCCTAAAGATGAATCCGTATAATGTTGTTGGCAGCATACTCTTGAAAACAAAACTCTGTATTATATAAATTAATTTCAAAATGTAAAATTCAATAAAAAATTATAAATGTTCATAACGAAAGCTTAGAGGCCAAAATCATTCTTGAGGAAATCATATGATTTATTCACTGGAACACATGTCCTTATGAAAACAAAATTAAGTGCAACTCAATAGCAAAAACAAACAAGGGACTAGACAAGGGATAAAGGCTTAAAGAGACATTTTTCTAAAGAAGACATATGAATGGCCAAACAACATGTATATGAAAAGGTGCACAAAATCACTAAATATCAGAGAAATGCAAGTCCAAACCACAATGAGATATCACCTCACACATGTCAGAATGGCTAATTTTTTTTTAAAAAATAGTAAGTGCTGGCAAGGTTGTAAAGAAATTGAAACCCGGGAACACTATTGATGGGAATGTAAACTGGCATTGCTGCTACAAAAAGCAGTAGAGAGGTTCCTCAAAAAATTAAAAATATAGCAACCCATATGATCAAAAATTCCCACTTCTGGGTATATATATCAAAATCGCCTAGTATGACTATATTACTGGCAATCTCCCACTTTATGTCCATCCGTTTGCTTTAGTTATTTAGGTGCTCCTATCTTGGGTACATAAACGTTTACAAGGGTTTTATCCTCTTGTTGGATTATTCCCTTAGTCATTATGTTCTCATTTATAGCCTTTGTTGTAAAGTCTATTTTGTCTAATAATGTATCTTGCAGATTGGATTGGTTATCTTTGACTGTTCTTAATGGTACATCTCCCTCCATGCGCCTCTTACACTGAATATTTCCTGTTTATATTTCATAGTACTTGGTCCATTTATAGCTAATGTGTGCTATAAGTAAACCCTATATTTGTGCTTCAAATGTTTAAAACAAAATAAACATAATAAATAAATCTTAGTATTTAAAAACTTACACAGCCTCTGCATTCATTACACAAATGGCTCCTGAACACTGGCACTTCTTTGGGTCATCATATGATATGCCCAGATTGAGTCCCACCATCTGGGTAACAATTACTGAAAATGCCTCCAAAGTTATCTCCTCAGAATACTGCATTAAAAACAAAGAAAATGAAAATTAAAGACAATTCATTGAAGGGTGTTAAAAATAACATTTTTTTTAATTCTGAACATTTTTATTGTTCTATCAAGTACTACTTTAAGAATAGGTAAATACAGTTCCTTGGACAGGTGAGAAGCGGAAGCTCTTCTTATGCAATTTTATTGAGATACTAGAGGCCCGGTGCATGACATTTGTACACTAGGGGGAGAGAGGGTTCCTCAGCCCAGCCTGCACCCTTTCAGAGTCTGGAAGCCCTCAGGGGATGTCTGACTGATGGCTTAGGCCCGCTCCCGCAGCCGCAGAGATGGGAGAGGCTCCTGACGCTGCCATGCTCGCCAGCCATCAGCCTGGCTTCTGGCTGAGTGGTGGTCCCCCTGTGGGAGCACACTGACCACCTGGGGGCAGCTCCTGCATTGATTGTCTGCCCCCTGGTGGTCAGTGTATGTCATAGCGACCAGTTGTTCTGATGTTTGATCAATTTGCATATTACCCTTTTATTATACAGGATAAGCATATTGAGTTAGTGCCAAGCTTCACCCTAATTAAACATTTGCATAATTAACATAATAAGTATATAAAAGGGCTGTTTTTACATTATATTTTGGCTATTTGAACCATGATCTTCAAGTTACCTAATTTCTTATGACAGCTCTCATGTACACTTAAAATAGTCCACATAATATTCCACCTCTGAGCTCATGAAGTGCCCACATAACAAAGTACTGCATTTAAGGATGATATCTGCTTCCTTCTATTATTCTCAATGACATAGGAACTGTTGTCAAGAGAAACCACATTCTTGGATTAGACTTTGCATATATTTAACAAGTGCACATATAACTTCCTTGCCAAGGAGAATAGGACACTTAGTGCTGTTTTTGTTATCATTTCTGGAGGGTATAAGGTAAATATTTCATTAAGTTTTAACTTGCATCTCATATATTTTTGACAAATTGGCTATCTTTTTGTGTGATGTATTTATTCAAGTATCTTGTCCATTTTCTATTGCATTTGTCTTTTTATTGATTTCTGCAAGCATTTTATGTATTCTGTATATGAGTCATTCTTAGTCATGCACTGCTAATACTTTCTCTACTCTGTGGCTTGTCTTTTCACTCTCTTAATGTCTTTTCATGAACAAAATTTCCCTAATTTGATGTGGTCCAATGCACCCAACGTTTCCTTTATCATTAGTGTTTTTTCTGTCTACTTTAAGAAAACTTTCCCTATGCCAATAGTCATGAAGCTATGTTCCTTTTTTACCTTCCAAGGCTTTATTGTTTAATTTTACATATAGATCTACAATCTACCTAAGTTTTATATTTTGAATAGCAGTGAAATTACATTTATCAAAAAGACTATCCCCTATTATCAGACTTTTGGTGCTTATCACATTGCAGTATACTGATGTCAAATTATATAGTACACCTGAAACTTATAAATATAATGTAATATACCAATATTAGCTCAATAAAAAAATATTGTCCACTAGTAAGTACATGACAATCATCTTTGTAAAAATTTTATTACAGCCCTAGCCAGTCTTGCTCAATGCATGGAGCATCAGCCAACAGACCAAAGGGTCCAGGGTTTGATTCCGGTCAAGGGCACATACCTTGGTTGCAGGCTCCTCCCTAGCCCAGGCCTGGGTCAGGGTACATGCAGGAGGCAATCAATTAATGTCTTTCTCCCACATCATTATTTCTCTCTGTCTTTCCCTCTCTCTTCCATTCTCTCTAAAAATCAATGAAAAAATATCCTCAAGTGAGGATTTTTTTTAAAAAATGAGTATATGCCTATCATTTGTCTATTTCTAAACTTTCTATTCTAATCCATTGGTCTATTTATTTGTCTACTGCTGTCTTAATCACTGAAGCTTTATGGTAAATGAGTCTTACTATCAATTACAGTATGGCCCTTTGCTGTGATATTCATCAAGATTATCTTAGCCATCTTGAAGGGGAGAGCGGCTGATCCTACAGCCACAATGCCCAGGGACCAGCTGCCTTGGCTGTGAATACACAAACACCAATTTGGGGTCAGGATAGCCCTCAAATGTTGAAGGGGTTTCACAGGGCTGCGGGCAGTGGGGGACTTTATATCTAAGATCATAGCCATGGGAGACTGCACCCAGAAAGAAAACCTGAAGTTCTATATCGGCCGTACAGTGCTGGGGGGAGAAAGACAGAAGGCAGCGCAGTTGCTCTATCTTTATAACTTCCTTGCTCTTACTTGCTAAACCCGGTGCATCTGACCTTTCAATTAAAAACATTCACCAAGACTGCAGGAGAAGGTGATTTTTGTGAAAACTGGGGAGCAGAATAGGGAGAGATGTGTAGGAAGCCAGCTCTGGGAGAGTCCGTCCCTTCAGTCCTGAACAGACATTTTTCTCCTGAAGACCAGGCTCCTCTTTAGCAGCACAGCCTCGCCCAGTCTTGAGCACAGCAGGGAAAGGAAGATCTAAATACCCACAGGGAGCAATGGGAGACTGAGTTGAGGGGCCATTCGGTCCTGGAAACTAATACAAAAACACTGCCACCTAGGGGCCATGTCAGAAATAGACGCTTGTGTAAATACGACTAAAAGCAGGCAGAAAAACAAAGTGGGCAGATTGATTTCACCTGCTTAAAACCAAGCTTGTGGCGTATGACACAGAGGAGCGGTGGATAGCTGAGAACTTCAACACTGTGCTGACTACATGACAGGAAACTGAGATGTGGCAGGCAGAACAGTAGAAAAGGGTCTTAAACCTGCCCCCATGGGACACTGAAGCTCTGCTGAACTTCACTACTTCACTTTTTTATTTGTTATCTTTTACTTATGAAACTAAAATTTTTTTTCACTTTATTTTTTTATTATTATTATACTTTTTACCATTTTTTTAAATGTTTTGGATTAGGGTTCTACATTCTAGACTTATTTTTATTTCTTTTATCATTATCTTACTCTACCTCATTTTTTCCTTTATGCCAACACTTTCTTCCTCACTTTTCCTATTTTCATCCTGTTTCTCTTCTCCTGTTCTTGCTTTAGTGTTTCTCTATCCTTTCTTTTTACTCCCTGTTAAAAATTGATCTTCTTTATCTGCTTTACTGATGCACTGCTATTAAAGTATTCTCTGTTGGCCTACTCATATATCTCATTTCTTCTCCCCTGCTCCAAGTCCATGCACACTTCTCTTTCTTCACTAGCCAAATATTTTTTCTCTCTTTCTTGTTGTTTGTTTGTCTGTTAGTCTATTTTTTGTTGGTTTTGGTTTTGGTTTATTTTATGATTTTGTTTTTCCTCTCCTCACTTGTTCTCATCTCCTACTAATAGCTTAATTCAGGGGTGGGCAAACTTTTTGACTCAAGGGCCACAATGGGTTCTTAAACTGGACCGAAGGGCCGGAACAAAAGCATGGATGGAGCGTTTGTGTGAACTAATATAAGTTCAAAGTAAACATCATTACATAAAAGGGTACGGTCTTTTTTTTCAATAGTTTTATTCATTTCAAACAGGCCGGGTCCGGTCCGCGGGCCGTAGTTTGCCCACGGCTGGCTTAATTAGTTTCAATCACCAACTCAGGCCTATCGGCTCTCTATTCTCCTTTTCCAAAAATAGATAAATACATACATGGATAGATAGATATATTAAAAAAAGGAAACATTTTTTATATATTTTTTCTTTTTTTCAATTATTATTTTCTACTTTTTTTTTTTAGTATTTTCTTTCTTTTCTTCTTATAAACTCATTCTCTTTCTATCCCCTCTAAACTGAATCCTGGCCATTTCCCCATTCACTCAATTCCTTAACCTTATCTTTTGGAAATAAGCTCTGCCTCTTCAGATTCAGCTTCCCTCCCTTTTTGGGTGCTTATTGTTTGCATTTTTTGGATTAGTTGTTGGTTTTTTGGAGTTTTCTCCCCATATACATTTATATTTTTCCCTTCCTTTGTTCTTCTTTTTCACTTCTCTCTTACATTTTTTCCTTTCCCCTACTTCTCTTTTCTCTGGTGGTCACCTTTATTTAGGATTATTGATTTCATGAGTACATTCATGTTTTGTGCCCTATGAGCTGTGTCTTGGCAAGTTGTATTTTGTGCCTTTAAGTCAAAGTGGTAGAAAGTGAACCACATACATAGCCAGACACCCTGAGAGGAGCAAAAATGGGGAAACAAAAAACAGCCCCATACAGAAGAAAAGGAGGATTCACTGGAAAAGGAAGTAAATGAAATGGAGGCAAGCAACCTGTCAGAGAACGAATTTAGAACAATGGTCATAAGGATGCTGAAAAGGATAGAAGACAAATTCAACAACATGTGTAAGAACCAAGAGGAAATGAAGAACCAAGAAGAAATGAAAAATGACAAAGCTGAAATAAAGAACACAATAGAAAGCATCAACAGTAGACTAGAAGAAGATGAGGACTACATCAGTGAGCTACAAGACAAGATAGGAAAAAATACCCAAGCAGAGCAGAAACTAGAAAAAATAAAAATAAAAAACAGGAGGAGAGCGTAAGGGAACTTTGGGACAACAAAAAAAACAAAACAACATCTGAATAGTAGGAGTGCCAGAAGGAGAGGAAACTGAACAAGGAATAGAAAACATGTTTGAAGAAATAATGACAGAAAACTTCCCTGATTTGGGGAAGAAAAACTCACAGAAGTCCAAGAAACTTAGAGTCCCAAACAAGATGAATCCACAAAGACCAACACCAAGACACATTATAATTAAATTGGCAAACACCAACGACATAGTAAGAATCTTAAATGCTGCCACAGAGAGACAGAAAGATACCTACAAGAGATCTCCCATCAGACTATCAACTGTTATTTCAACAGAAACACATCAAGCCAGAAGAGAATGGAATGAAATACACAAACTCATGCAAAGCAAGGGTCTGAATCCAAGAATACTGTACCCAGTAAGGCTATCAATCAAAGTTGAAGGTGAAATCAGGAGCTTCACAGACAAAAAAGGACTAAGGGGTTTATTACCACCAAC